CAATGGATCTGTGCTCGACGATGTAGCCTAGGTGGAGTAGTCGAACACAGCTCCACTGAGCCTTCAACACAGAGCATCTTCAGGAGACAAGTTGATAAAATAAATTTTAAAAATCTGTATTGTTCCACACACACATGTTTGCACAGCTATCCATTTGGGGACATTCCATTGGCTTCCATTACATTTCTACAGCCTAACCCTGACCACAAACCCCAAGGCTAATCTCACAGGTATCTATCTACCTGACCCTAAAACTAACCTAAACTCAATTCACACCTTGGTCCTAAAATGAACCCCCAACCCACCAATGGCATTTAAACCAAATGGGGACTCGACTTTCGTCTCCAAGTGCACTATCCTGGCCCTTGCCTTCCTACACAGCTCCGCTTAATTCTAGTTTTCTTTCACTGCTCCGTCTGGGACTTCTCCCATTGACAAGGATTTCGCTGGCAGATTTTTAGCCAGGCCAATCAGAGAAAAGAACATCGATTTTCTGTGCAGTGTCTGCTTGTAGTTTATTTTACCTGGGCCAATCAGCAAACAGAAGGAGGAGTTTTGAACGACGTCGATGTTCTGCGCAGTGTCTGCTAGTTATTTTAGCANGAATGAAGCCAGTCTGTGTTGATAAGGCTTCAAATTAAATTAAATGTGTCTGATAAAGCAGCAGCTCTCATTTACAGTCGTCACGTTCGGCTCGGTAATTCTCTCCTCTCAGTAGGGTTGTTTACAGCACACTCGATTTCCGGTTAGCTTCTTAGCTTAGCCTCCATCACAGCGACATACGTCGCAGCCAACTGATCCAATCATTTTAAACTTCAGCAGAGGCCACGCCTCCTGCAATAAATCGATTCTCTATTTAGCAAGTCCAGACCCTTGTACGGAGCAAAGTGAAGGACATGGGTCTGGTTTAAACCAGGCTACAAATGCACCAGTTGTCCCCAAATGTAGGAAGTCTGTCTTAAAATTGCCCCCAAATGTCACCAGAAACAAACCCACACACGTATACACACACACGCATGATGATAAAAATCCAATAATAGGTTTGGTCCTACAGCCATACAGCAAATACAACACACCACACAAAAACAGATTTCACTCAAAAACATTCAAATGTCAGATGGGAAACCTCTCGAGATCGAACATGAATTCAGAATAAATAAACATGGCCGATGAAGAAGAAGCAATTTGGCGATAGGTTGTGTGGACCATTTTAAAAAGAGAAAAAAACAAAACAAAAAAAGACATCTCCAACATCCAACGTCCTTCCAAGCTGACTAGGTCACTCTTAACTCACTACACATGTCAGGAATATCTCCTGAAATGATCTTTAGACCGTCACCATAATCAGGGCCTCCTTAAGGGCAAAATCGGTTCAAAAATCATCACAATTATCTTGCTGTGTGATCTTGCACAATCTTTAATGCTTGGTGTATGTGTTGTGACTTCCACCCCAATTTCTTGCCTAATCAATGAAGTTATAGACATTTTTGTGTAGACATACTGATTAGCTGAGGGAGCCATCTTTAGTTGGGTTGGCTTCAAAAGGTATTTAGTTGTTGTTTATTGTGCATGATTATTTTCTGAAAGTTTCATTAAAAAAGCTCAGTGGTTCATGAAATATTTTCCTTATGTCTAGTAAATAAAGTAAAGTTTCGTTTTATAGCACCTTTCATAGATATAAAATTGCAAAGTTCTTCACAATAAAAGCAAGAAAAAATTAAAAGCATCACATTCTTACAAGTAAAATAGGTTTAAAAAATAAAAACTGACATTTTAGCTAAAAGCCTGTTTTAGTAAAATAAATTCTTCAGATGTTTTTTAAAAGCCTCAATAGAATCAAGGCTGGGTTAGGGCATTGCATTCCGGACTCTGGGAGCAACTGACAAACACACAGAAACAAGATAAAATATTACTGCTCCACATTCACTGTTGGTAGTGGGTGATATTAATATGTGGCTGAATTTGGGGGTTGGGTCTCGGTCCTCCACAGTCACTATTAAATATTCCATTGGAGAAATCTTGTATATACACGCATGTTCACAACTGCTCACAAACAGGTGCTCTGATCCGGGGGGTTCTGACTGGTCACTGAGTGTGTATATATGTCTGTGTGTATATATGGACAATATTTATGAATGTAGGCATGTATGTATGGATATCTTTATATATTTATGGGTATGTGTATATTTATGCCCTCCATGTATTTATCCATTTATTTTTCAGGTGAGCGGACAGATGTTGGGTGTGTGGTCCTGTGTTTTGTTGGTGTATATTTAATATACTTCTAATCGCTATTTCAATCTTTCTATCTTTCTAATTACTTCTCTCTCTGTTTTTCTCTCTGTCTCTATTTTCTCTTCACTTAAAAAAGGTCACTGATGATGAAGAACTAAATAAACTAAATAAACTAATATTTGGTTTCGTTTTCTACTGAAGTGACACAAAAAAAAAAAGAAAAAATATATGTGGCTAAATTTGAAAACTAATTATCCTGTTACACATTTGGACTGATTGGGCTTAACCTCCTACTCAGCACTTGTTTGTTTCTGCACTTCTTCTGCATCATCGGTTGTAGGAGTTATATTATAAAATGACGCTTTGTGCACACTTTAGCTGCAAAACATCAACAGATGTTTGAAGAGGTGGGATTTGGTCCGCAGTCAGAGTAGAGCTGTTAGCTCCATTCATGAATTCAGGTCATCTGGACTTTTTCCACCTGCAGGTGTCGGAGCAAGTCGGCAGCAGAGGAGGTTGAATATTAAAGAAACTGGACCTTAGCTTCAGAGTAGCTGAGAGCAGATTTATGAGGTGGCTGAGGGAAAAATACAGTCAGCTAAATCATACCACTCTGTCACCATGCCAAATTATCTCACTATGTAAAGCTTACAGAACAATATGCCTCCCATTAGAATGTGGGTGAACATCCTTTAAGTTGAGGGAAGTCACAGAGGAGAAGAGTGAAGGATGAAAAGAGGGGAATTTTTTGTTATACTGGCCCAGATAAAACTTTTACACACAGTTTATTATTTTGTCCTTTTTGCCCAAAGCCTCAGAACATGAAACAAAGAGAATGTGAGGCGGTTCATGAGAGGAACAGAGGAATATTTGGCTTGTTTGCAAGCTATTAGAGCAACCAGTAATCTCTCCTGACCTCTACCAACTGCTGAGCAACCAGTAAATAAAGATCAAACATGATTTATGCTTAATTTGTTGATTAAAAATGGGAGGGGGGCTTAAGAGTTAAAACAAAAAAAGTATTATTATTTGCTTGGCAGAGGAGGAAAATCGTTGGAAAGTAATCAACTGATTGTTTTAGTGAATTGTTCCCAAACCCTGGTAACCAGCATTAAGGGCTCGTTTGATAGTTAATCCAGGATCAAGGGACCACAATAGGTAGCTGTGCGTGTATGAATACACAGATCACAGATCTACCACCTGCCAACTGTAGCTGGGCTCCTGGTGTCGGTACGGTACATTAAACCTTCTCTTCCTCACCATGTCACTGTTCCCATAGCTAATACTCTCAGAGCAGGGAAAGTGGGGCAGGCAGCACCAACTGCAGGAAACAGGACAATGAAACCTCATTTGACTGTATAGTATAAAGTCAAATTTTTTTGTAGAATGAGATTAAATTTAGAAATAACTGAACTCACTGGCTGACTGAATCACACCAAAATGGCAACATTCTTTGATAATGAAATTTGCTCTTATAAATAAGAGCTACTTTAACATTCTGGGTCAAATTTTACTATGATTTACATTTAATTTATTATGATACAAAGTAATGACAGAACTTTGTTTGATCTTCTTCAGCTTCCACATATTTCCAACCCTCTTCCAAAATCAGTAATGGTTTATTTAATTTGATCAATCAACTTTTGTTGAGAAAAAAAAATAG